AACTGTCTGGGGGTATGTCTACACTACCCCGCTAGTTCGAACTAGCGGGGTAATGTATGCATACCGCACTTGCTAATGAAGCCCGGGATTTGAATTTCCCGGGCTTCATTAGCATAAGCGGGGAGCCGCCATTTTTAAATCCCCGCTGCTTCGAACCCCGTGCAGCGCGGCTACACGGGGTTCGAACTAGGTAGTTCGGACTAGGGTGCCTATTCCGAACTACCGGTACACCCCCCGCTTATGCTAATGAAGCCCGGGAAATTCAAATCCCGGGCTTCATTAGCAAGTGCGGTATGCATACATTACCCTCCTAGTTCGAACTAGGAGGGTAGTGTAGACATACCCAGGGTGATTAAACACTGCAATAAATTGCTCAGGGAGGTTGTGGAATCCCCATCTCTGGAGATATTTAAGAGTAGATTAGATAAATGTCTATCAGGGATGGTCTTGCCATGAGGGCAGGGGACTGGACTCCATGACTTCTCGAGGTCCCTTCCAGTCCTAGTATTGTATGATTCTATGGTAAACTGATATTTACACTGTTCAGGGAGACTCAGGGAGACCCCAGCTGCGGTTAGCCAGTGCTAGTGCTCCAACTGCATGAGAGAGGAGGGAGTGTTTCTTCCCCACACAGTGAGGCTTGGGGCTTTCTCCATCCCCCCCCCTTGCTCCCTCCACAATGAAATAAGCCCAGGCCATAGGCCACCTCCAGCAGTGGCAAGCAGATGGTGGCAGGCCCTATACCATCTCAGGTTCAGTGCTGTAGTGCAGCAAGGTGAAAAGGGTATTGAGCACCCAACTCATGAAGCCGCTGAGCAAATAGGCCAATCCCAATCCCAATCTGCTCAGCCCCAGAACAGCCACTTGCTAAAGGAACATTTTTCCGTGGTGCTGGCAGGGGCTGCTCACCTGGACAGGGGTACAATCCACCAGTTTCTCCCCTCCCCCCTCCAGACACCGGGGAGGAGGGAGAGAGGAGCCATGCTGCTGGGGGAGGAGGGGCAGCAGGATGAAAATTTTTCCTGTGGGACACAGAGTGATGTGCTGACGTGTGTGTCTCTGTCGTCCCACAGGAAACGGGTTTTTTTAATATAGAGAGCGATAACTCACTTTCTGCAGGACAATATTACAGCAGTGGACAGATTCTGTGGTAAATTCTGTAGTCACAGAATCATGTTAAACAAAAGTCTGGGACTATAGGATGCTTCAGAGCCAGAGCAGGAACTCAATTAGAACAGCTCAGCTGCCTTGTTGTCTACTGCTCACACAGCTCACAAGACTCCCTATAATTCACACCAAAGTGCCATTGAAATGACATATGTTTATTGGAAAACATGTGAGAAATATATTGCATTGGGCAACTAATCTGCAGATAAATTTGAACATGATTTTTACAGAAGGTTTTTATTTTGCTTCAGGATTGAGTCTGTAATTTAATATGGAGCCATTTACCTGGCTATAATTTAATTTGTATTGTTTTGTGACTGCTACCGTATCGAACTTGCTTCCATAAGTTTGATTTCCAGCATTGCTGGCTGGGTGAGGAACTACACTTGTCCAAAAGTTCTGTAAGTCACATCATGTTGACAATTCAGCTGTAGAAGCTGTCATCCTCACTGCTAGGGTATAACAAGCCGGTTAGTGCTGAGGTTATCTGATTTATCCTTCAGGCTCCCTCTGCTTTATCAAAGGTTTTACAGAAGTAGATTAGCATTTCCAGCTTGCTTTCTTTACTACATCTAAAACCTTCTTTTCATGTATACCAACTGTATCATCCCTGTTTTAAATAACACTGCACTAAATGTAATCCTAATTGTTCATGGTTGTGCAAATAATTTCAAACAACAGACATTTGCTTCATAAGTCTGACTGTATCTGAAAAATGCTAGCAAGATTTCTTGCTTCCACTTCTTCAACCAGTAATTTAGTGGTGCAGCACCCAGTCTCAGAAAGACATACATTCCAAAGAAAAGTTATATATATATTTGCACAAAAGATCTTTATTATAAAGCTTGCACTTTAATTGTAGGCTTTCCTAAGGTGCCCATCACTGTAGCAGCTGAGCTGCTGACAGACATAAATGGATTAATCCTCATTAGAAGTGAGTATCATTAACTCCATTTCATAGATATGCAGCTTTCCTAGGCTCCCACAGAGAGTCTGTGTCAGAGCTAGGATCTCAACCTCGACCTCCTGAATCACAAAACAACATCCGAATCACAAGGTCAGCCCCCTTTCAAGCTTTCTTGCTTCTAGTTAATGCTTGGCTAGGTCACAGCAGCACTATGAAGATTCATATCTATAGATAATCACCCATCCTCCCCCTGAATTGCAGTGTGGACAAGCTTCAAGCTCAGGCTCTGATGCCAGAGAAGGGGTAGGTCTTAAAACCTGAGTTCCCTCTCGAGCCCAAACCTCTACTGCTATTTTTAGAGCCATATCACAAGCCTGATTCCGTATGCCACGAGACTGCCTCAAAGCTTTTCTGCTCCATGTACACATACTTTAAGACTTGTGCAAGGTCATTGTGAGAGTCCATGTTAGAATGAATCCGAATTAGAACTCAGGACTCTCCCGCCTGGGTGTTTAGCACTCTAGAAAACCAGAGCTATTATTTAGATGTCTAAATATGGACTTAATATCCTAACTACAAGAACCAGTTCCTTAAAGTCTTGGCCAGTTTGGGATTGTTTGACAACTGATGAAGTACATGTCTGCATTTCATAACCTCCTCTGCAGTATTTATTATTTAGTAGCAGTAGTAATTTATATTGCCACAGTACTTGTTTGTGCATAGTATTGCCAGGGGAGATCATTTAGTACTTCCTAACACAGAGGTGGGCAATAAAATTTTTGCCCACGGGCCACTTCACAAAATTTTGAAGTAGCCCCAGGGCACCCCAGAAGGAGTGGGGCCTAAACTGGAAAGGGTGGGGCCTAAATGGGAAGGGGCGGAGCTACCCTACCCCCAGATCATGATTGGTCTGGGTATGGGAAGCCCCTTTGCCCCCCTTTCCCACTAGTCACCCATGCCCTGGAAAAGGCTTGGCATGCTCCCCCACCCCAGGCCAATCAGGACCTAGGGGTGGGAGAGCACAGGAAGCCTCCTCCTGCCCTGCGAAGAGCACGTGCCGTGGGCTCCTCATAGGGCCGGGGCAGGGCGAAGGAAGCTTCATGCATCTCCCCCGCCCTCATGCCCTAATTGGCCTGGGGGCGGGGGAGCGCACAAACCCTCCTCCACTCTGCCCCCCACCCTGCGAGCAGCGTGCGGCACTTCAAAGCGCCACACGCTCCTGGCAGGGCGGGAGGAGGCTTCGTGCACTCCCCCACACCCAGACCGCCGAATCCAGCCTACGGAGGCCCTTTGCCCATCCCTGTCCTAACACATATTTGGTGCCTGGCAGGATCAGCTCAAAATTAAATAAATAACATAATGACTAATAACAACAGACGGTGTCTTAGGGTACGTCTACACAGCAGCGTTATTTTGAAATAACAAAGTGCACATCAGAAAGCCAATATTTCAAAATAATTTTGAGCTGGAGGATTCTTACTCTGACTCCTGTAATCTTCATTACACAAGGGCTACGTCTAGACTACATCCCTTTTTCGTAAAAGGGATGTAAATTAGACGTATCGCAATTGCTAATGAAGCGGGGATTTAAATCTCCCCCGCTTCATTAGCATAAAAATGGCTGCTGCTTTTTTTCAGCACGGAACTTTGCTGGAAAAAAGGGCCAGTCTAGACACTGATTTTGCGGAAAATAAAGCCTTTTCCGAAAGATCCCTTATCCCTCTATGAAATAAGGGATCTTTCGGAAAAAGTTTTATTTTCCGCAAGACCAGTGTCTAGACTGGCACTTTTTTCCAGCAAAGCTCCACGCCGAAAAAAAGCCATTTTTATGCTTATGAACTGGGGGAAATTTAAATCCCTGCTTCATTAGCAATTGCGATACATCTAATTTACATCCCTTTTACGAAAAAGGGATGTAGTTAGTCTAGACGTAGCCAAGGAGTACAGGAAGTCAAAGGAAGAGTGTTCTTTTTTTGACTTCCTGCTGCGTAAACAGTGCCAAAAAAAAAAGCCAAATTAAGCTGTTTCGACTTCAGTTACACAATTAACATGGCTGAACTTACATATCTTAATTCAACTTTTGCCCTGCTAAATAGATGAGCCATTAAGGAATAAAGAGAGGAAACAGGGCTTTGGGCAAAACATGGTGTTCATTATTTTACTGTATTTCTTGTGGTGGGTTTTTTGTTTTCTGTAGTAGCTGGGCACCAAAGCAGAAGGGTATTAGTGGTAGAAATATTCTCAAAGGAGTGTTTTGAGAAGGGATTTGAAGGAAAACATTGATTTAATCTGGGAGTTAGGTATAGGAAACCATGACAGTGCACAGACAGAGAAGACAATAAAAGGAGTGAGAAACAAAAAAGGATGCGGTGATAATTGGACAGGCAAGTATGACCAAGCAAAGACTTGTTGAGGATAAATTATCAGCTTTAAATGCATTATGGTAAAGATGTATCTCATCAGATATTAAAATCCGTATTTCATTTTAAATAAGGATGCAGTGATAACATTTACAAATATGCCCTTCAGCTGCTACTAGCATGAGCATAGGAAGTGGAAGTTGATCTTTGGTTCCGTTTGTTAAAAGTTGCCTACTTTCTAATTACTATACAATCATTTTTTATAAGCATTAACAAAGTTTGCTAATTTCTCATTTATTATTTCTTTCAGAGCTAAAGAACAGGGATCTATATTTCTAGCCATGACTAATGGCTTAGCATATTTCAATGTTTGGGTGCCCACAATGAGACATCTTAAAGAAAGTGATGAACACCTTCCCTCTGAAAGTCAGGTCCCTCCTAAGGTGCCTCAAATTGGGCAACCAAAATCACCAATTGGAATTAAAACATGAGTCCAGTGCGTGCAGCACTTTCCCTTGTAAAGGTCCAGTGGGCACATTTGTATAAATATGTTGGTTTTTTATCAGACCTACAGAAGTTACTCCAGACCATATACGAAGATGTGGCAAAGAATTTCAGTTCAGAAGATGTTAAGAAGACTAGACTGCATAGGTATGCTACATGATTGGATTCTATAAACCTAAGAATGGCAGCTTACTGTAATAATGCTTACACTGCTTTCTTTTCAGGGTAGTTGCTGATTAAATTCAACATTCAGTCAATGTAGGGAACATTGACATTTCTCTGTATAGGTGACAAAATGGTCCATTTTACTGTGCACAATAACTGTTTATTTTCCAGACGGACACTCAATGAATCCTTCTCTTACAAGAAAACATTTCGAACAATGCTTGTATAAATTGTCTACAGCAACTCTATAGAAAAAGAGGCCATTTTCTTCTCAATGTCTATAGAATTGTTTATGTTGTTACCTTTGCATTTTCTATGAATCCCCATAAAATTCCAATGGAATTTCTATCAAAGGCACTCTGCAATTGTCCCTAGATAATTCACTAGATAATTTCACTAGAGTAAAAAACTAGCGTGGGTCAATTTTATTCATTCTTATCATGATACTGTAGGCTTAGGCCACTTCAACAAACCTCAACATGGTTTAACCTCTCCTAATATTGCTGCTGCTTATAGGCATGCAGTGTCACTAAAGTTAGTGGCAGATCTTTGGTCTGCAAAAGTCAAATCAGTACAGTGAGAGGGATAATGGCATAATCCACATTTCAATTCTATCCATTAATAGTTGTGAGACTGTTAGAAAGGCCTAGTCTTGACAAGACTGGGTTCAAATGTTATGCTTTCTGCAGCTCAGAAGTGGAATCTCTGAATTTCCTTGCTATGGTAGGCATATGGATTATGGCTCCTTATGTTTCTCTGTCCAGTACTGTTTGTAAATACATATGGGCCAACTTCTCTGTTGGTGTAACTTGGGATAGCTCCACCAAAGTCTACAGAGCTGTACTGTCTAAGGATCCGACTTATATAGCTTTGGGCTATAAAACCCCTAACCTGTAAAAAAAGCCATGTCTCCCCTCTCAGATTTGACCATCAGCTCCAGTACGTGTGTTCATATGCTGGAGAAGGTATATTCCAAACAATTTCAAATAAGTTGTGTTGCCTTGCAGTTCGCCACTAGTATATCAAAGGAATGAGAGAATGAGCCTAACAATGTTTAAGGAACAAGAGAGCATACCGGGACAGAGACCTAAAAGGTAGGAATGTTACAAAAGAATAAATATGTGACATAGTATGAAATGTGCAGTCATCTTCAAGAATAGAAAATGGCTTATAAAGTCACAAACATAAATTGCACCCAGTTTCATGGGTTAGACTTGGTCCTGTGGCAAGAGTCAGGATTAGAGATGCTGTATTATGCCTCCCCAGTTACTAAAGTTGTTCATTTTCAATATTGGAATTCCTTTGGAATTTTGTGTTATGGCTTAAGCTAGCATTAATAAATTCTCAGAGGGGTAGCTATGTTAGTCCTTAACTCTAAAAACAACAAAAACAACAGGTAGCTCAGTGGAACCTTAGAACCTAACAAAAATACACATAGTATCATGAGTTTTTGTATGTAAAACTCACTGCATTGGCTGGAGAGGAATAGCAGAAACCCAGTATTTTATAACAGAAAAAGAAGGGGGAAAAGGTACCTGTCAGTTGTAGGGTTAGTCTAATGAGGCTAATTAAGTGGACTGGGAGTGTCCCATACTTAGCTTTTGATGTAAAAAATGTTGTGTTAAATTCAGGGAAGACTGGCTTTATAATGTGACATCCAGTTAATGTCTTTCTTCAAGCCCAGGGCAACAGTGTCAAATTTGCATAGGAACGTCAGTTCTGAACTCTCTCTCAGTAATTGGCTGGTGACATTCCTCTGCAGAAGAATGACTACTTTTAAATCCATGTTTGAGTGCGCATGCAAGTTAAAATGTTCTCCTACAGGTTTGTGTGTGTTAACATTTCTAATATCTGGTTGTGTCTGTAAGCTGGTCCGCTCTGGGAGGGGCACCTCCCCTTTGAGGTTAGTGGGTGGCCACCCCAACCCACTGTGCCCAGATCAGTCTCTGGGAGGGAATTAGCAGTCCAAATAACCAGTCCAGAGTCCCCTGCTCTTACCTCAGAGTGGGGCGCCAAAATAATAATAAAGGCGGCCTGGTTTGGGTAGGCCAGCAAACAACAGTCAGAGGCCTGGCATTGCTCCAGGGCTGGCAGCCAAGTCTATATTTTAGAGCCCAGCCTGTGGACCGGGAGGGCCCGCAGGTAAACAGTTTGTAGCCCTGCTTTAGTTCAAGCGGGGCGTCAAGCAATCAGTTCAGGACCCAGCCTTTGGTCAGGGCAGGGCAGCAGTAAACAGTTTGTAGCAATTTATACGACTGGGGACTCCTTGCTCAGGAGGGTTGCAGGTGGCATGCCCGCAATGGCAGAGAGGGGGAGGCTACCACCCAAGCAGTGGGTAGCAGGGGGGGGCACAGGCCCACCCACTCCACTGTGCCCAAGCCCACAGCCCTAGAAGCAGCAGTATAGACTGCTGCCAGGTCAGCTGGGGCTCCAGGCTGAAACATGCTGACCTGGACATCAGGTAACCCTCTCAGCATGTCAGAAGGGGTCCAGCTCCAGCAACCAGTCCTCAGCAGCTTGCAGTTTCTCCGGGAAGTCCAGTCTGGTCAGCAGTCCCTCCCACTTGCT